AAGCTTTCATGTGATCTTGCTCTTTCATCATTGTGGTTGGATCGATTTTTCTATCATGGTATCAGAGCAGGTCTTCACCTGACTCTGATATCCTCCTTTCTTTTTTTTTTATTTTATTTTTTCTACTTCCCTGCCAAGTAATCTCCATGGCAGAAGAGAGTTCTACCAACACGGGTCCTGGGCCAGATCTCACTCTTAAATCTCCACCTCAAATAGTTTATCCTGTGAATCAGCTGATCTCTGTCAAGTTAGAGGAATCAAACTACCTCATTTGGAAACAACAAGCTCTCACAACAATCAAAGGATATGGCTTAGAGTCCTTCATTGACAAGAATGGAAGATCTCCCGAAAAATTCATCTCAAACCAAGAAGGCACTGTTGAGGTAAATCCAGATTTTTCAATATGGCAAAGACAAGATCAGATTCTTGCCTCTTGGATTTTATCTTCCCTTAGTGAAAGTATTCTCATTCTGACTGTTGGATTAGAATCTTCAAAACAAATTTGGTTGGCTCTTGAAAACAATTTTGCCACACAGTCTCAAGCTAAGATAATGCAATATAAGATCTTGCTGCAGTCTTTAAAGAAAACTGGTATAGCAATGAAAGAATATCTTAGCAAAATGAAAAGCTATTGTGATGTGTTGGCTTCTGCTGGTCATACTATTCCAGAAAAAGACCAAATCCTTCATGTCTTAAGTGGTCTACCAAGTGAATATGATGCTGTTGTTGTGAGTGTGACTTCAAGGGTTGAACCTTGCACCTTAGCTGAGTTACAAGCCCTGCTTTTGAGTTATGAGGCCAGGATGGAAACTAACAACACAGCTGGAACAACCTTAAATTCAGAAGGATCACAACCTTCCATTAACTCAGCTACTCAAAGCCAGCAAAATAGAAACTTCAACACTGGTTTTCAAAACAACTTTCAAGGAAATAGAGGTGGCTTCAGAAACTTTCAAAATGCAAGAGGTGGTCGTTTTGGTAGATATTCTAGAGGAAGGGGAGGAAGATACAACAATGCTAAACCAATATGCCAAATCTGTCATATCCCTGGGCATACTGCAGATAGATGTTGGCATAGGAACCAAAATGCAGCACAAGGCAACACTGGTTTTCCACAACAGGCTCACCCAAGGAATCCTGCCATCAACCTTGCTCAAATAGGTCCTCAATATGGGTCCTCTTATGCTACAAATTCAGATAATACCTCAGAGGCCAGTTGGTTCCCAGATTCTGGTGCAACAGCTCATGTGACAAATGAGTTTAACAATCTCAACATGGCATCTGATTATGTTGGCAATAGTAGACTTCAAATGGGAAATGGAGTTGTTGTTCCTATCACTCATATTGGTAATGCTGCATTAAAATCTCCCTATGATTCTAAGGCTTTTCTTCTGAAAAATCTATTGCATGTGCCAACTATAACTAGAAATCTTCTCAGTGTGTCTCAGTTTGCATGTGATAATGGGGTTTTCTTTGAATTTCATCCCACTTTTTGTCTTGTCAAGGATCAAGTTACCAAGACAATACTCCTCAGAGGAACCCTTGATGATGGCCTCTACCGTTTTAGCTTGCAGCTTCACAAGAACAACTCAATCACTCCAATGCAGTCAAGAAGAGAAGATTATCATGTTAATTCTACTGCTTTCAATAACAATTTGAATACTAGCCTCTGGCATAATAGGCTAGGTCATGCTGGTAAAGACATTATTCAGAAAACCTTGGATGACTGTAATATCTCTTATAGAAGAGATGAAGACTCATTTATTTGTCCTTCTTGCATTATGGCAAAGAGCCACAGGCTCCCTTTTTCAGATTCTATGTTTATTGCCTCTCAACCTTTTGAATTAGTGCACAGTGATTTGTGGGGTCCTGCCCCTATAAAATCCACCAATGGTTTTATCTATTATGTTAGTTTTGTGGACCATTTTAGCAGGTACACATGGATCTATTTCTTAAAAGATAAAACTCAAGTTAGAGAAGCCTTTATGCATTTTAAAGCTGCAGCTGAAAATCAACTAAACTTCAAACTCAAGGCATTACAAACAGATGGTGGTACTGAGTACAAAAGCTTGAAGGATCATTTGCAAGAACAAGGAATACACCACAGAATCTCTTGCCCTTACACTCCACAACAAAATGGATTGGCTGAAAGAAAACATAGAAATATTGTTGAGATGGGTCTCTCTCTTTTAGCTCAGTCAGGCTTACCTTTGACCTATTGGGATGATGCTTTTTCTACTGCTGTTCACATCATCAATAGACTGAGTAGCAAGGTTATTAACTTCAAAACTCCTTTTGAGAAGCTGTACAAGAGAAAAGCAGATTACAGCACTTTGAAAGTGTTTGGTTGCAGGTGTTACCCTCATATAAGGCCCATGAATAAGCATAAGCTGGAGTTTAGAGCAGTGCCAAGTGTTTTCATTGGGTACAGCTCTAACTATAAGGGATATAAAGTTCTTCTACCATCAAAAAAGGTGATAGTAACCAGAAATGTTCTTTTTGATGAGAAAACTTTTCCATATCAAGCTCAGCTCAACAGAGAACATCTTGAAAAGGTTTGTCCTCCAATTTTCACTCAAGGACCCACCTTTGAACAACATGAAGATAAAAGAAAGAAGAGCAAGTCAAATGAGAACAATGGGGATCATGAGGAGAATATCAGAAACTCTCCCAACTCCAACAACCTGACACCTCACAGTCAAGGGCATTTTCAATCTCATACACCTCAAAGTGTTTCAAGCAATGATTCATACTCCACTATACCATTAGCGGTGAATCTTCCCATTGATGAGACAAGCTATCAAGATGGATTAGTTGACCAACCTCAAAACAGGCATCATATGGTCACAAGATCAAAGACAGGTAACTTAAAACCTAAGAAGATTTTCCTTGTTGAGAAAGGAAGAGATGAACCAAAGAGTGTTCAAGAGGCTTTAAAGCTTAATCAGTGGAGAAATGCCATGCAAGAAGAGTATAATGCTCTAGTCAAGAATAAAACATGGACTCTGGTTCCATTACCACCTGGTAAGAACCTAGTTGGTAGCAAGTGGGTCTTCAAACTGAAAAAAGGGACAGATGGAACTGTTGTGAAGCACAAAGCCAGACTTGTGGCTCAAGGTTTCTCTCAAGCAGCTGGACTGGACTTTTATGAAACTTTCAGCCCAGTAGTAAAACCAACTACCATAAGATTGATGCTAACAGTTGCAATTCACCATGATTGGAGCATAAGACACATTGATATAAACAATGCCTTTTTGCATGGTGAGTTACAAGAAGATATTTACATGAAACAGCCTTTGGGTTTTGAAAAAGGATCACATTCTCTTGTCTGCAAATTGGATAAGGCCATTTATGGATTAAAACAAGCATCAAGGGCATGGTTTGAGAAATTTAAAACTGTTCTGATGAGTCTTGGATTTAAGAACTCAAGGGCAGATACTTCTTTATTTTTCAGAGTTCAAGGTAATCATCAAATTTTCCTTCTAGTGTATGTTGATGATATCCTGTTGACAGGGAGTAATCCTAAGGAAATTGATCATCTCATTTTGCAACTCAGCTCAGTGTTCTCTTTGAAGGACCTTGGAAACATTCATCATTTTCTTGGAATTGAAATAATCAGAAATTCAGCAGGCATGCACCTACATCAAGGGCAGTACATTAAAGACCTCTTGAGAAGAGCAAAAATGGAGAATGCAAAGGAATGTCCAACACCAATGATCAGTTCTATTCAACTCTCAAAATTTAATGGCAGTTCAACAGGGATAGATCCCACTTTTTACAGAAGCATTGTGGGAGGTTTGCAGTACTTGACCATAACTAGGCCTGAAATTTCTTTTAGTGTCAACAAAGTTAGTCAATTTATGGCTAATCCTCTAGACACTCACTGGAAATCAGTTAAGAGAATATTAAGATATTTGGCTGGAAGCTCAGATCATGGCCTTTTTCTTGGAAAAACTACCAACTTAAACCTCACTGGATTCTCTGATTCTGATTGGGCAGCAGATTTAGATGATAGAAGATCAATGACTGGATCTTGTGTCTACCTGGGAGAGAATCTGATCTCTTGGAGTTCAAAGAAACAAAATTCAGTTTCAAGGTCAAGTACTGAGGCAGAGTACAGAAGTTTAGCAAGTACAACTGCTGAAATTACCTGGATAGAGTCTTTAATGAAGGAACTGAATATCATGGTCTCAAGAGTCCCTATAATATGGGTTGATAATCTAAGTGCAATAGCTCTTGCCTCCAATCCCATTCAACATGCAAGAACTAAGCACATTGAGATTGATCAGCATTTTGTTAGAGATAAAATAAATGCAGGTTTACTAAAGGTTCATCACATTCCCACAGGTGAACAAATTGCAGATGCTCTCACTAAGGCTTTAAGTGCACAATCCTTCACCCGTTTCAGGTCACAACTTCAGGTTATTGCTAAAACCGGGTTTGGATTGAGAGGGGATGTTAGAACTAGTCAACATGCCCATGCAGACGTGGAAGATCCTCATGCACCTCAGCTCACTTATGTGGCAAAATGTGTGGATCAGCATGCAAGGATCAAAGAAGATAGAAGACAAAAGTGTGCAGACTTTATAACAGCTTTTCCACTTGATCCAAGAGTAAAGAATGAAGACACTTGTCATGATCCTAGCTAAAGGAGAAAAGTGAAGAAGATGCTTTAATGATCTCTTGTTTCTTGTTACCCTATTGTAAGACATATAAATAGCTTTGTTTTCCTCTTTCCCAAGTAAGCCGATTCTGTGGCATTGAGAAAACAAAATCTCAGATCTGAACTTAAGTTTTAATGTATTGAATGATAATGTCAAGCTTTCATGTGATCTTGCTCTTTCATCATTGTGGTTGGATCGATTTTTCTATCACCTACTCTTCTTAATTTATTTTTTTCTCTTTCTTTTTAATTGATTTTTTTTATTGATCGGTTGCGATTTATCTCTATTTCTCCCTCTCTCGTTTCTTCTTATTTTCTACTCTTCTTCATTTAATTTTTTTCTCTGTGCGTCTGACCCTTCCCGACGAGCCTCATCCCCCGCTGAGCACGACCACCAGCCTTGTCCAACTTCTCGCAAAACAACCCAGCAACCCGCGAGTTCTGCTTGTTATTTCCGACCAACTCGTCGGCCTTGTTGGTTTCCTCCTTGAAGGGTGCAGATTCGCAGATTTTGAATTTGTTGAAAACGAAGAAATTGACATTGAGGAGATGTAACTTGACAAAGGATTTGTTGAAAGAGACGACCGGATAGAGAAAAAATAACATCAAAAATAAATATGGATGATAATATATACGTTATATAAACTAAACATATACAGTTTCATATGTGTAAACATTATGTATAAGAATATATAAATAAACTAGACATATACAGTTCTTATGTGCAATATATAGTTATATGAACACAATTTTTTGTGCTATCTATGTATATATTCTGGGTATTTTCTGTATATAAGGCTGTTTATGTGTAATATATAGTTATATAAACACAATTTTTTGCGCTACATGTATATATATTCTGGGTATTTTCTATATATTTGACTGTTTCCATTATCTCATCAGCTACTGTTCGCGCGAATTTCATGGAGTTCATTGATATATACATCTCTCATATACGTATAGTTGTCATCAAGATTTTCTGATTTTCTAATTTATCACAAACTCATAATTGTCGCTAATCTTTTCTTTTCATATGAACAACTACCTAATTATTAGGGTATAAAA